ACAACTGTGTACCAACAAATTACAAAGCCTAAAAGAAGTGGATAAATTCCTAGACACATATAAGCTATCAACATTGAGCCAGGAGGAAACAGAAAACCTGAATAGACCAATAACAAGCAATGATATTGAATCAGTAATAAAAAGTCTCCCAACAATGTAAAGCCCAGGACAGAATGGCTTAACTGCTAAATTGTATCAAACTTATAAAGAAGAACTAACACAAATACTTCTCAAAATATTCCAAAATATTAAAGAGGAGGGAATTATTCCTAATTCTATGATGCCAGCATTACCATGACGCCAAAACCAGATAAGGACAGGACCAAAATCTATAGGCCAATATCTCTCATGAACATAGATGCAAAAATCCTCAACAAAATACTACCAAACCAAATCCAACAGCACACCAAAAAGATTACATTTATCCCAGAGATGAAAGGATGATTCAGCATATACAAATTAATAAATCTGATACATCTCATCCATAGAATGAAGCACAAAAACCATATGATTATCTCAGTAGATACAGAAAAGTATTTAATAAAATTAAATATCATTTACAGTAACAACTCTCAACAAATTAGGTATAGATGGAATATTCCTTAACACAATAAAGGCCATATATGACAAACCCACAGCTAACAATATACTAAACAGAGAAAACTGAAAGCTTTTCCTTTAAGATCTGGAACAAGATGGAGCTAAAAACAATGAGGTTGTAGTAGTAGTGAGTAGAACTGTGGTTACTAGCAGTTGGGAAGGGTAGCCGGGAGAGGAGGGTATGGACAGGTTGGTTAGCAGGCACACAGTTTATAGCCAGATCGAAGGAATAAGTTCCAGTGTTCTATAGCAATATAGAGTGAATAACAATAATTTATTGTATATTTTCAAAAAGCTAGAAGAGAGAATTTTGAATGTTTTCAATGTAAAGAAATAGTAAAGGTATAGGCCGGGCACGGTGGCTCACGCCTGTAATCCTAGCACTTTGGGAGGCCGAGGTGGGTGGATCACCTGAGGTCAGGAGTTCAAGACCAGCCTGGCCATCCTGGTGAAACCACATCTTTAAAAAAAGAAGAAAAAAGAAATAGTAAAGGTTTGAGAAAACACTTATGCTAATTACCCCAATCATGACACATTATATACATGATTTGAAATATCACTCTGTACCCTGTAAATATATTAAATTATTACATGTATATTAAAATTAATTTTAAATGGTACAAGTAAAGGAAAAAAAGAATTAAGTAGCTGGTATAGAGAGGAGGCAGGGAAGCATTTAAATTTTATAGCATATATATGTGTTACCTATTTAAAGTTAAAATAAACATATACATTTATGAAAAAAGAAAAGTTACAAATAAAGCTAATGAAGTACTAAATAAACTACATTTTATACTCCCATATTGTCAGATGTATTTTTATGAAACAAAATAGAAAATATGTGATTGGATAAGTAACAAAACAGATATATATATATATATATATATATATATTTATTTATAAGCTATAAATATATCAAAATATTTAATATAATATGAATATAAATATTCTAAAAATTTATTTTTCTTGCCTTCACTTCAGCAAAATTACTAAATATGCCATTATAATGAAAAATTTCACAAAATTTTAGCTCTACTGATAGTAATAATCTAAAAGATCAATTGAAAATAAAACTAATCACAATCAAAATGTACACACTTCGAATTATTTTATTTAAAATATATACATTTAAATAAATGTGAGAATTTATTTTTTCTTGAAACAGAGTCTCACTCCTGTCACTCATGCTGGAGTGCAGTGGCATGATCAAGATTCACTATAGCCTCGACCTCCTGGGCTCAAGCAATCCTCCACACCAGCCTCCTGAGTAGCTAGGACTACAGGACCACACCACCACATTCAGCTAATTTTTTTTTTTAAGAGACAGGGTTTCACCATGTTACCTAGGTTCTAAGAAATTTTGAATCTACCAATTTACAGATATTTAGAAATGCTATTTTTAAATTAAATATTTAAAAACCAATTAGAATTAAAAACAAGTACAAATTATAATAATTACTAAAACTTTAAATAATATTTAAACAAAGAAGAAAATGCTCATTCCTTTAAAATGTCATTATATATTTTATGAAAATTAATAATTCCAGCATTTAATGTTCATATTTTAATTACTAAAGGATCAGCATCATGGTTTACCCATTTTGTATCTAGTTACACAGAAACAGAATTCAAGTAATGTAAATTGTTTAATATTGCAAAATACTCCTCAGCCACCGTGTGCAACTTCTTTACTCAGGAATTCTGGAACTATGAATTGGAACATGAGGACAAGCCAAGAACTGGTCATTTATCTTTATTAGGACACAAAATTCATTGTGAAAGAAGCTATTGAGCTCCTATTATCTCACAGGATTTGACACATTAACTAATTTACCTTTTCCCTTTCCTAAATATTTGTGTCATTCAATTCCTCCTTGTGTTTCTAAGTAGTATTTGTCTCCAGGAGTAATAATTTTAAGACATCAAAGTGAATCAAGGGAAAATTAAGAGAGGCAAGTCAAAGTTCTAATGGCTGCATACATGCTTAATAAGCCATTTGTTCAAAACATTAAAAATTTAGAATCGGTATCCACAAAGGTTGTGATTCATTCTCTGGCATGAAGGTAATATTGTGCAGTTGAGGCCTGTTAACAATAGGCCACAGTGTCCGAGGCTTTAATTCTATAGCACGTGATGCAATTATTTGTTGTCAGCAGAGTTTCTTCTAATGTCAGAACAAGGTAACTGACATCATTTCACATTCAACTGGGGCCGCAATTTCAGGAGTCTCCCTTTAACACATACAATTTGGACACTTTAATTAGAGTTTTATCTAGGTGATTTACTCTTCCTCATATTTGGAGATGTCACGAAGGATACCATTTGTACAAGAATATGCCTGCTTTTGGCCAACCTGCTACTGACTGAGCACACAATAATGTTTTTCTGTGTAATGACTGAAGTGACAATTTGCAAAGCCTATTTCCATTTCCAACTCAGATGTTGGAGGTCATGAATTTCATAATATCTTTTTCTTAAAAATACCTACCTAATTATTGACTGGTTTATCTTAGACAGCTGAAATATGCTAAACAGTTCAAAACTAAGCTTCAAAATACCCTGAAGATGTTTCTCTTATACTTTGTTGACTTATTGTAAAAGCTATACAATATTATAATTTTTATCAAGAATAAATTAATGTTTTGCCTGTTTAGATAAAATGTGGCCACAGATAAAATAATAAAATGTGAACCCCAGATAGGCCTGGGTTCAGATCCCACTTCTACCACGCTGAGCTAGGTCATTTGGGCAAATTATATAATGTTTCTGAGATTCAGTTTCTTCATTTGCAAATGAGATCATTTGTAGTGCCATTTTATCACTGTTGGGTGCCTGGCACCAGTACATTCTCCAAAAAAAAAAAAAAAAAAAAAATAGTAGCTGTGTAACTGGCAAAGAATTATGGAAATTGGCTATAGTGAATTTCATTCATCAATTTAATAAATATGTATTGATCCTACTGTACGCCAGACAACTGGGCGAAGTGCTTGGAATTCAAAGGCTGTTTTGCACTAGGAGCTTAACATTTTTGTGGGGATACAGACATGCATAATAGAGATAGGAAAGTGCTGTGCAAGCACAAGTAACGGAACAGCTAACTTTGCTTGGGGAGTTAGGAACGGCTTCTTAAAGAAGAAAGGAACTAAGCTAGCAGGATGAGAAGGAATTTGTCAGGAAAGATTGAGAAAGGCATTGGGGGCAGAAGATTGCAAAGGCACAGAGTTACAACGTGCTGTTCACATGCAAGGAAAGCAAAAAGTTGGAGAGGGGCATAGTAACTATGCCAGGCCCCTTGCATGGCTAAATTGAACTGACAAGACCCAGCTGATGTGTTTGGAAATAGACCAGAGATGCCATGTTAATCCTTCAAGAGTGTGGCTCTAAATGAACTCAAAGAAAAATCCAGTTCTCTGAGATGTGTCACTTTTGATGCACTGGCCTAAGAAAAGATTGATCAAAACCCTTCGGTACAGTAATGTTTGTCTGTTAGACATATCACTTTTCTTCAAATACACCAAAATTGGGGGCAGAGTTAGTTTGTACCCAAGACTTATGATTTCCAGTTCTTGTTCCCCTATAATTTCTTGTGATGGGCTGCCCTTTTCACCAGGAACACCTTGGGACATATTCTAAAAACTACTGTAACCAAAATGCATGCTTCTTAGCTAATAACAAAGAGTGCTCAATTCCAAAAGCTGAAAGAGAAGATGATACAAAATTTCACTGCAGAAAATATAGCCTCAAATGTTGTAAAGTGATGTAAAAACCATCCAAAGCACTGGCTTTGAAATTAAACATCGTGGCTAAAGCATCAGAAAGAATTAGACTGAGAAGAAGGAGAAGGCCTCAAAGCCACAGGCAAACACCCAAACTGGTGAAGAACCCGATGAGGCAAACCATTCCATCACTAAAGACACCTCCAAATGCCTGCAACAGATCTCCAAGGGAAAATAACAGCCTTGCTGCCCATCTGGAGGAAACGGTCCAGCTGCAGCAGTTATTTCCAACACAATTCTGTGGATGTGAGGTGCAGGTGGAGCAGAGGCCTGGTGGTTCCTGTAGGTAGGAATCCGTCCTTGGGCTCTGAGGACAAGCTTTCTAATGGCACGGAAATTAAATTCATCCCAGAATTCACTAGTTATATTATTTAACACCACTGACACACCCACCTTAATAATCTGTGAATTCATCTACTACATGGTTTGAACAATGACTCAATTCCATGGGAAGAAGTTTCTATTTATATTCAGTAAATATTACAGTATTCTCTAATTTTAATCTCTCATTATAACCTTTCAAGATTTCATGGCTTTTAGGTAAATTCTATGGAAGATCTAAATAGCAGATAATTGCTTTTTAATAATTTTTTAAAATAAAGCCATTTGTTTTGATCCACTCACCATTCCATGATTCAGCCACCCTGGGATAAAATTATCCAGCAGCTTCGGGTATATCATCTCTCTGTCATAGGCATAAATGATCCAGAACACCGCTACAACAAACTGGAAGGAAAAAGAACTCTCTTATTTCAAGGTCATCAACTATCCACAACATACAATTTATTGGTTAACAACAGTTAAAAGAACCCAACAGAATTTGGAATCTATGATGAAAGATCGGTAAACCAGCTAATGATTGGAAACACAGGTCTAGCTTCATTACATTAGTAGTAAAAGTTAAGGTGCCTCTTCTCTCTGATTTCCCAACTGTGTTCTTTCAGGCAAAGGGATCTGTTTCTGAGGGAGAAAGAGGCCTGTCTTCACGAGCAGCTCCGTTTCAGGGCTAATTGTGCTGGTTTGATTCCTCTCAAGAGGGTTTAAAAGTTCACTGGTGGTTTCTTCCGATCCCATTCCCCACTATCTAGAGTTAGCACACACTCAGGGAAAGGCAGGGTATGTCCCTTTTCCTTGAACCCACCATGTGGTTCAAATTAATCTTCACATTCTCACATTTCCACTTCACCGCTAGCAGCATTGAAACCACTGCTATAAAATCTCCAAAAGTCACATTTCCAGCAAATGTATTAATTTATACAGACTAAGCAAGGGCTTTAGCTGCATTGAGAAACTGGGTCCATGGAGGGTAAAGGAAGATTCCTAATTCTCTTGGAATAACTTAGAAGTTCATCTGGATTCCAAAGGTTTGTTTTGGCCCAACAGCAATGTAATCATCAAAAGAGAATAGAGTACTCAATGTATTATTTTACCCTCTTCCAACTAATGGTGAGAAAAGAAGTTCAGATAAAATAATCAATGGCCAGAGGTCTTAACCTTCTGCACTGAATTTAAAAGAAAAAGTGTATGTTTTTGTAAATGTCAAAAAATGTAGCATAACAAAGGGAACCATCCCACAGGAAGAGATCAAAGTCTCTGTAGAGTGATGTCTCAACATAAAAAATGCTGCAAAATGGAAAAATACAGCATGAATATTAAACAGAAACAATTTCTACTTCATTTTATAGCTCATCCATGCTCCCATATTTTATTAATAAAAATAATAAATAGTTTCATGCCACTTCAAATTGGTGGTTTTGGTAGGTTGGTGGAAGTAAAGGCCAGAATGCAAGAGATTTAAGTGTTGGTAGGTGACAGGTAGGGGCAGTAAGACGTGACTCCTGTTTCACGGCCGTGGGCAGTGAGGGAAGGCAAAGGAGCCGGCTGCCTGAGACATGTAACAGGGATTAGGAGGGTGTGTATGCTCTTAAAAAACAGCAAGTCCAGGCGATATTTTGATTGGCTAGAAGTCAGAGTAAAAGGAGATAGAAAGACAGGGAATGACTGATAAGCAAAGCCCAGGAAAAGAAAGGGATTAGGATTATAAACACAGATGAAGCGTTCTTCCCTTTAAAGTGAAATGCAAGCACTTTTGCTGACTGTTGGAAACAGAGCTGAGCACAGAGTGGATTTGGGGCACTGCTGTGGATAATGTGCTAGGAAGTCCATCAAATATTAAAAAGGAAGACTATCATGAATCAGGACGGCCCAACGGAGATCGAATAACAAGATTTTGTAGTGGAACCAAGCAGGATGTATTCCCAGGCTGTCTTGAGGCCTGTGAAAACGAGGATTTAGGAAAAAGCGTTTTAGACAACTTGAGGATCAAGATCGTAGGGATCTTGTAGCACAATAGCTTGGGTAAGGGACAGATAAAAGGTTGAAAATAAGGGATTCTGTGAGATCAGAATAACGTCTTTAAGCAACTGGCTATCGTTTCTAAGCTAGTACTGGGCAAGGAGTGGCTACCAATGAATCCCATGAGATATCACACATATAGATATTAGTGACAGAGAGTAAACAATTAAAGATAGCCATTCCTGTTTTCACTTCTTTTGCTGCATAGATTTGACAACTCTAAGTGACACCACTCCAATTAGGGTTGATTATGTGCTCCGATGCTAGGGAGACACCGGTAGGCACCATGGCAGTGCTACTCTGCCCCATGATTTCCAGGCACAGCTATTCAAAGTGGGTCAGCAGCACTCATGTCACTTGAGAGCCTTTAAAATGTGCAGAATCCCAGGTCTCACTCTGATCTGCTCTGATCCTACATTTCAATAAGATCCTATGTACATACAAGTTTGGCATGTTCCGCTTGGGGTGGCTCTATTCCAGCCACCTTGAGCCTCCTCCCTTCCCATGGAGTGAAGAGATCCCATGGGCAGGTAACTTGCTATGCAGAACATGCTCCTCTTCCTTTCAAGATCCCCTTTGCAGGGACATGGATGAAGCTGGAAGCCATCATTCTCAGCAAACTGACACAAGAACAAAAAAAAAAAAAAAAAAAAAAAAAAAAACAAAACAAAACACTACACATTCTCACTCATAATTGGGTGCTGAACAATGAGAATACAAGGAACAAGAAAGGGAACATCACACACACAAGCCTGTCGGGGAGTGAGAGGGTAGGGGAGGGATAGCAGCGGGTGGGGGTATAGGAGACGGATAGCATTAGAAGAAATACCTAATGTAGATGACGAGGTGATGGATGCAGCAAACCACTATGGCACGCGTACACCTATGTAACAAAACTGCACATTCTGCAATGTGCCCCAGAATTTAAAGTATAATAAATAAATAAATAAAAGAATGTTAATAAATAAATAAAAATAAAATGTGCAGGATCACAGGTCTCACTCTGATCTGCTCTGGTCGTGCATTTCAATAAGATCCTATGCACATACAAGTTTGACATGTGCTGTCTGGGGAGGCTCTATTCCAGCCACCTTGAGCCCACTCGCTTCCCATGGAATGAAGAGATCCCACAGCCAAGTGGCTTACCTATACAGAGCATGCACCTCTTCCCTTCGAGATCACACCTGAAGTAACCATGAGCCTGGAATTCTTGCCCACATAGTCATGAGTATGCCTCAGGGCATTTGTGGACCTCCTCCTCGGGTCTGACCCCAAAGGTAGACTGTGCAATAAATGTGTGTTTGCCTTAACCTGAAAGGTGGTTAAGGCATGTCTGTTTCTGGAGGGTGAGGACCAAAGGTTTACATTTGGTCTGGGTGTCGAAACACAGGCATGAAGTCACTTCAGTCCTGGATGAAGCCACTGGTGCAACTCTCTTCACCTTTTCCCTATAACATAACCTAATCAAGTGAGTGGAATCCCATCGTATTCACAGGCCTCTCCCATACTCGACAGAAGGGGATCGTACTTGCCGCTGCAGCAGGGGATGGAATCTGGGTGTCATGCTGGAACTCTGCTTATCCTAGGCTCCCACTTCCTTTCCAAATTGTTCTGACTGTTTTAAGCCCTTTGCGTTTCCATTTAAATTTTAGAATCTCTGTTTGTTAATTTATACAAATATCCTGCTAGAATTCTCATGGTGACTGTTTGGAGAGGGCTCACATTTTAACAATATTGAATCTTCTAATCCATAAAGATAATTTGAATCTCTATTTACTTGGGTCTTCTTTAATTTCCCTCAGCAATGTTTGTGGTTTTCAATATACAGATACCGCATATATTTTATTGAATCTATTCATAAACATTTTTTTGTGATGCTATTGTGGAGAGTATTATAGATACATAGATATAGATAGATACAGATATTTTCTTTTTGAGATGGAGTCTTGCTCTGTCACCCAGGCTGGAGTGCAGTGGCACAATCTCTGCTCACTGCAACCTCTGCCTCCTGGGTTCAAGCGATTCTCCTGCCTCAGCCTCCTGAGTAGCTGGGATTACGGGCTTGCACCACCACGCCTGGCTAATTTTCATATTTTTGGTAGAGATGAGGTTTCACCATGTTGGTCAGGCTGGTCTAGAACTCCTGACCTCGTGATCTGCCTGCCTCAGCCTCCCAAAGTGATGGGATTACAGGCATGAGCCACTGTGCCTGGCCGAGTATTACATTTTTTTCATTCTTTTTCACTAGTTTATAAAAATGAGCTGATTTTTGAATATTGGCATTGTATCTTATACCTTTGCTAAATTCCTGTAATAGTTCTAGTAGCTATTTTAGAAATAGCTTTGCATTTTATACTTACATGATCTGCAAATAAAGACAGTGTTTTTCCGTAACAATTTTATGCATTTTACTTCGATTTTCTTTATTGCACTGCCTGTGACCTGCAGCGATATGTTGAATAGAAGTGATGAAGAGTGACCATCCTTGCCTTTGTCTCTATCTTAGGGAAAGTGTTCAGTCTTTTCGCACTTAAGTCTAATATTAGCTGCAGGCTTTTTTTAGTTTTCGTCTATCAAGTTGAAAACAATCTCTTCTATTCTTACTTTATTTGAGAGTTCTGTGCACAATGAATGAGTGCTGAATTTCTGAATTTTTTCAGATTTTTTTGTATATTGAGATGATCATATAGTTTTTCCTCTTTATTCTGTTAATATGGTGAATTATATCAATTTATTTTGAATGTCAAACCAACCCTACATTGCTGGTCATCATGTATTTTATATATATATATATATATATATATATATATATATATATATACATATATATATGTATATATAATATATATACACATATATACATAAAAATATATATACATATATATATATATAATATTTTTACTGGATTCAATCTGCTAACACTTTGCAAAGGATTTTCTTTTCATCTCTGTTCATAAGTATACTAATACGTAATTTTCTTTTCTCATGATGTCTTCACCTAATTCTGGTAATAGTATAAATTCTAGAATCAAAAAATGAGTTAGGAAGTGTCTCCTCCTCTATGAATGGCTTTGTGTAAGATTAATACAATTTATTCCTTGTGCAATTGATATACTTCCCTAGTAAAGCCACCCATACTTGCAATTTTCCTTGTGGGTGGATTTGTGAATTCATTTTCTTTAATAAATATAGGGCTGTTTGGACTTCCTCCTTTCGCTTGAGTTGATTTTGGTCATTATTGTCTTTTACAGAATTTCTATATTTCATCTATGTTTTTGAGTTTATTTGTTCTTAATATTCCACCATGGAAACTGGCAAATGCTATGAATCGGGTATTTTTTTCCCTATAGAGGCCATTGCTAAATATTTAC